CTCAAGTTCGCCGAAAGGCTCAAAGACAGCCTGTAAATCCTGCTCGGTGACGTTGAAGTGAATGTTGCCCACGTAGAGGCGATGGAAGGGGATCGAGTTCGGGTGGGCGTTGGTGGTCTCGGAGTTGCGGACCTGTCGGTTCTTCTCGGCCTCTGTGAGCTGGACGATGATAGGGATACCTAACAATTTCTGTCCGGTAAGTTGAAGCGCTTGAGTGACTGAATCCTCGTTTTTGAATTCAACATAACCGACTCTGTACATGTGGTTAGCAACTCTTCAGCTAAAGCCAGGTTGGTTGAACTTCAACTTACCCCTTGGATCTTTGGCTAATGCGATCTTTGACAATCTGAGCCTCATTGACGGGGCCGACCTTCTCGAAGAATGCCTTTAGGTCGCGGGTGCGAAGACGGGCGGCGAGCTGCTGGACAAAGACAGTGCGGCGATCGCGTTCATCTTCAGTAAGTTGTGGTGTTGCCTCACGCTTGGAAGTTTCCTGACGATCGTCGTCCCTAGCCCGGCGATGGTCCCCAGAGTAGCGATCTGAGCGATCGCGGCGTTCGCGATAGTCATCGCGTGATGAGCGGTAAGAGCGGTGGGGTGACCGAGATCGCGAGCGGGCTCGTCCGCCTCTATAGTAATCACCATCTCCTCTGTGACGACGTGAGCGACGGCGATCATCATCGCGGCTTTTGCTTCTCCGCCTACTCTTGTGGCTACCAGCGTCGCTCCGAGGGGTTGATGTCTTGATGTCGTCCGGGGTTCCACGTCGGCTGCGTGTCGTGCTACGGTCGCGGCGGTCGCGGTCGCGGCGCTCATGGTCTCGACGACGACTATCATAGTCCCTGTCACGGCTTCCATCGCGGCCGCGATCGCGCTCCTTACGTTCGGAACGGTCGCCATTGGTGCGTTCTTCGACGTCGTGTGTCTTCGTCTCGGTAGAGCTTTTTGCGGTGGCGTCAAGCAACGCCTCGACGTCTAGGCCCGACATCTTGCGCTGATTTCAGTGCGAAAGAGACGAGGAAGGGAGAGTCGACGCTGTTCTTTCGCTTCTGCTGTCTATGATTTTTCGAGATGGCAGGTTTTATCGCGGTGTGGGTGTAGAGGGGAAGAGCGAGGTGATTCGTGGGATGGAGAGGTTGGCGCAGTCACACGAAAGCGTCCGACAGAAATCTTGGGCCAGGCGAGACAGTGAATCGGGCTAGGGACAGCCCAAGCGCTGAACAGGACCTGCTAGGTAGCCAAGCGAATCTGGAAGGTGGCCACTGGCAGTAGCAATCAGAAAGAGCGTGTCTTACGTAACAACAGTGCTGACTCATACGGGCAAGTTCCGCGTATCAGGTAGCATCGTACCTTCCCACGCTACCTAACCTTGAGGTATGCTCTACAACTAAGAAATACCGATGAACCATACGTCCATCTGAGCCATGAGGAATAGACCTTCCTCATCCCGAGGAAATCATGCTAACACGTGACTATTGGTCGCATACCTTTTCCCAAACTCGAAGCTAAGGATGGAGCATTGCAAAATGTCAAACTGACTTCAACCTGGAGGCCCGACCAGACCCCCTCTACGATTGCCCGTGAACACGTTTGCTGCAACGGTTCGCCGTTCAGATGCGCCCATGGCGTCCGGAAAGCTACTCCATTTGTTTCTCCATCAAGCTATGATCCTCGCCATGAGCAATCATCAAACCCATTACCTTTTACAGTCATGATTGGGCGGGAAACGAACGTGCTGTCTAGTCATTTTATGGCATAATCTCGGTGTGTGGTATCATTCAAAATACTCTGTACTAAACCAGCCTGTCATGAGAACATGACGGCTCTTCCCGGCCGCATCATAGCTGGCCGGGGCGCTGTAATACGCAAGGCTCATTCAAGCCATCTCCTCAGAACGCCCATGAAATGACCCCCATTACAGCGTTAAAGTAAAGCCCTAAAAGCGTATATACATTGTGGGACACGTAAGGGTGAAATTGAGCAAACTTGCTCTGTTCGGTATTAGGAATAGGCCCCAGAAGTCGTCATCATGACATTGTGTATGTTGCGGTCGTGTGCGGTGGTCGGGTGGAATTAGTTGGCCTTCACAATGGGAGGAAGTTCGGTGCCAAAGATGCTGTCCCAGAACCGGCTGGTGACTCCGAAGCCGAGCTCGTAGTCGAGGAAGTGGTGCTGAAGGTGGTATTTCTTGAGCTCCTTGTACCACAGAGGGAGGTTCTGGTGATGCAGGAAGTAGTGCGTCAAGTCGTAGCAAATGTAACCGAAAATGCCTCCGCAGTAGACGGCCGTGGCAGCGTGCCAGCTGTAAGAGAATACCCAGTGCGCGAGCTTGTAGAACGGCGTGGCGAGAACAACGAACAAGGTGGGAGGCATGACCAGGCGATACTTGTCCATGGGCAGGTAGTGGTGGATGCCATGGAGGAGGAAGTGCGCAGTGATGCCAACACGGTTGTCAGGAAGCCACCTAATCCAACGTATTAGTCCAATGGCCTCTCACGTTAGATCAAGTTGCAAGAAAACTTACTTGTCGAGATGGAACAAGAATCGGTGCAGGACGTATTCGATCAAGCTCCAGAGGAAAAATCCAAAGCCCCAGTAGCAGACCTCCTGGAAGGTGCTGTCCATGCCTTCTCTAGCCAGATAGGTGCCGTAGGCGACGGGCGGAAGCCATGCAAGCGGGACAACCCACCAAGGTGTCTTTGACAGAGGCTCCAAAAAGTTGCCAAACAGAGGCGCAGATTCGCCGCCCTTGTAGTGGCGAGGACGGTGGACTTGATCAAGGTAGAATTCCTTGCTAAAGCCGCCGAACCAAATCTGAGGGAACAACGGGCGGCTCAAGTCGAGGAACTTATGCTTCTTATAGTCGCTTGTGTAATCCGTCTCCTTGCTCAGATCCTCCTCGCTGGCCATACCGGTTCGGGGGTGGACCCAACGTTCACCGTCCCAAAGCTCGCCGTGCTCGTTCATCTGGACGCCCTCGGCTTCGTCAGTCTTCTCGACGGTGCCGTTCGCCTTGCCGTTTCCATTCGCATGTCCATTCGATTTGCCATTTACTGCGCCATTGACCTTGCGAAGGCCGTCGACGGCCTTCTGGTTAATGACAAAGCCAACCAGGGAGTCATCCAAAACCTCATATGCGGCCTCGGAGTGAGGGTGAGAGGTTGGGTCCTTTAGAATGGCGTCGATGTCCTTGCCAGCGTAGTCGTAGACGAGATCGGCTCCACCGGGATGGTCTTGGGCGAAGTCGGTCACATCGTATACGTTGGAACCGATGGTAACATAGCAAGACTTCTTGGAGTTGTGAGCCTCGACCTCGGCGCGAGTGAAGGTAGGGAGAGTTCGCGCCGGCATATTGGTGGTTGCTTGACGATTGATTCGCGGCGATACGTAAACGGCAGAGAAGGGACTTTCGGAAGTACTACTGTTGTCGCTGAGGGTTCCTAGTGCCCGGGTCCAAGGTGGACGAAATAGGAGTCGAAAGACAACGAAGGGAGTGGACGAGTAGAAAAAATCGCAGCAGAAGTCGCAGTCGCAGGCCCTAGCGAAGGAGAGGGAAAGGTGCAGGTTGGAGGAAGAAGTGGCACGGAGGGAAGAAGTATTAAGATGGAGTACGGTGTATGGTTGGGCGACTAAAGCAGGCGGTCTAAGGTGAGGTGGGAAACCGAAAAGGAGCCAAAAGCCGGGAGGGCCGGGAGGGCGAAGTTGAAAGGCCGGGGCGATGTGACTTGAGGCTCGGTGGGCACAGGGTGGTGAGAGAACGGAGACGGGTCGAAGAATTAATTTAGGGGGGGATGTTTGATTTGGGGATCGGGGGACGTGAGGTGAACGTGGAGGCATGCGTGGGTGGCAGGGCCAAGGAGAAGCTCTCTACGCGACTAGCAATCTCTCACCCTTCTCTAGGCCAGAAAAAAAAATACGGCCTGGTGGCGTTACTTTGGCACAGAACGGGACCTGGCGGAAGCTTGGACAGCCGATTCGTGGTTCCACCTGTTGACCACTTTCGCCCGGCTCTTCAGGGTTTACACTGTGTGAGTGTCTTTCTCTGTCTGTTTAGGTGGGCAAATGGATACAAAAGTTACAGACCCCGAAATTGCACCTTTTTTACCTCAGCTCAGCAACAGTCGAACACCTCCAGAACGGGCAATGAGTGACGGGGTTGACAATGCCAGACTGTACATAGTGTATGGACACAGACAGTACCCAGGAAGCCAAAGGTGTGGGTGATGAGGGAGTCAGGACGCGGGACTGACGGGGAGGTGTGGGAACCGCTGTTGGGAACCCAAACATGGCCTGGGACGGTCTGGGACGGAAGACCAGGAACGGGGACTTAGGAACATGTACGAAAGGGCACATAATGCCCACCACGCGATACATTGTCGTTGCCACGACTGCAACAAGCAGAAACGCCACCCTATCTAGGTGTAATGCCTAGGCCAACAGGTAGGGGAACATCGAAACTTCAAACGGGGCGAAATGGGCATTGGGCAAGTCCGGCAAAATCCTAGAGGCAGAAGGGGGAGGGAAAAGTTGCATGGCAGTTTGAGGCGGGAAGTGGTGACTACATGGACATTCTCATCGTCACTTAATCCCGGTGGAATTAGTCCGCGACAATCACCGAGCCCAGCACCTCAGGGCCCAGGCAATAAGCAAATCCAGGACTAGTCACTAAGAAACAATGCAATCGGCTGCCGGCCCAGCCAGATCGACCCAGCTGCCAGGTCTGTGCAGAGGGCTCCTAGAGCCTCCGTACCAAGTTTTGATCTGACTAACAGGCATCTACGGTTACCTTAAATGGGCTGGCTGTCTTGTTATCCATGTCGAACGGATGATGGTTTTTTCTTCGCATCCTGACCTAACACCCTGCCTATCTGTTGATGTAGGTATTCTTTGAATGAAGGAGCGATCAGTAATAAGTAATCAGATGAAAGGAACACCGAGCCGTGGGACCGCAGGAGGAGCGGTGTAACTGCTGTTCCTTCGATCAAGAACAAGAGCCTACCTTAGCATAAGGTAATGACCATGAGGGAACAACAGGTGGCTTCTCGTGGCTTGCAATCGAGGGGTAGTCTTGGAACACTCGAGATAAGATTGGCAATGGACTCTTGGCCTCCCACAGTCTTAGCATCTCCAGTCATGGGCCGTGACTCCCGACCCGAGGACCAAGATCGCAGTGAGTGGCGCGCGATGGCAGCGGCGGCGGTCTGTGACAGTGAGCATTGTTGGGGTCGAGTCTGAGATTGAGTTAGTGGAAGCAAGTTGAAGCGTCTTCTCACACGGCGCATATTGATGCATGAGCCAGAGATGGGAGGTGCATGCAAGTACGTACCCGCGATAAGTCCTCTTGTTTGATTACACGTGCATTTCACCCGAATGCCTTGATGCCAGTACTCCGTAAGGTACCGTACCGTACTTTACCTTACCTCAGCCCACGGGGGTTTACCTAATCCATATGACCCAGCCACCTCACAGCAGCTATACGAAGTATCCGTAGGTAGGTAGTCTGAGACGCAGCTTTCAAGGTTACAATCTGTGGCTCATGGGCCGCTCATGGGTCTCTTCAAACAGTGCCTTTCGGACTGATTAGTCTTCTGGTCTCGTTAAGATAGGTAGTTGAGCTGAACGGAGAGACTGGGGCTTATATCACCTTGTATATCCAGACAGAAAGGTCATTTATCTGGATCCTGTTCATCTCACTGGCTTGTCTTGCCTTAGCTGGCCACCCATTATATCACAGTACCAAAGTTAAGGCGCGCCCAAGATTGAGAGAATAATAGATGGGAAAAGAAGATGCCTGATCATCTCGTCGTGCGGAACGAGTTGCTGGGGACAAGCCTGGAATCCGCCAGGGACGCATGGCATTGGTCCAGGTACCGTCTACCTGGTCGGAATGGAACCCCTCGACTTAAGCCAATGGCGGGGCTCTCCTGTGCGGGTCTGCCCTAAGGTACCTTACCAGCCGGATCCCACCCTGTTGCGCGTACCTACAAGTATGGGAGATACCTACTCCGTAAGAATACCTTAGGTAAGGTAGGTCTGGGCGTATCTGATGGAGGGGCAAATGGGTGCCAAAATAGGATGTCTGTCAACGAAAGATTGTTGTAGGAACCTTCCTGTCTGTTCAAAGTGTAGTCTCTGAGAAGTCCAGACAAGATCATAGGTAACCATAGGAACAATAGAAAGAACAAGAATGCCTTGGTAAGAGTACAGTTAGGGTACCTTATTATGGGGCGGCAAACGATTATGTCACCTACTTGAGGGGCACTCATTGTTGGGGGACAGTCGTGGTCTGCTGCGCTGAGCTCAGCACACAGAGAGGCGGGGCAGGGAGCCAGGAGTCAAATAAGGTATTTCAAGGTTCCTGCGCATCTGATGGTCGTATGCACAAGTATCAACGACCTGCTTTACCCCAAAACATCCGGCTTAAGTGATTCAGTGTCAACTTTGGTAACCTACGGCTTTACTTGGTTTACACATAGACGATTATCCTGCAGGGCTTCCGTGTTTGAGTTCGCTTTGATCAATCAAAGGTAGAAGAAATCAAGAGTGGATAAAGGAATCGAGGGATTCTATCTTAAGTTGGGACAGTCAATGCCCATCATGCTTATACCAGGTTAAGCCCAACTTAGCGCGTCTTGCCGGGCAGCTTCGGCAAGACGCGTCTATTGCTTCGCCAATCTTAAGATAATTTAGGCATCTCTGGGATATAGCGCCTACTCAGCAATCTGGGATGTCACAATGCGTCTGTCTGTACGTCTGCGCCTACATAGTACCCATCATAGAAAATGTGTTGCCCATCGCGGTGCAATGCAGGCCAGTATGGCACACATGTGACGCGAGCCAATGAGCCTACACTGCAGCTCCTGTTTCCACAAAGCTCAGCTGTCCCCCACCCCTTTCGCCCACGGAATCATCCAAACGTATTGATCAAAGGTAAGTTGATAGGGCAAGGGAAGCATGAGGTGTCGTCAGCAGTGATTCAGACATGCGTGGCGGGGACAATCAATCAGTCCTTGATGATAGTGCTATCGCCTCGCCTATACCCTGTGCACTATCTGAGACTACCTTGGGTAAAGCAGCAAACCGCCCCCCCTCAGCCCCAGGTTGACAACCCAAGCCTTCAAAGTCTTTCGCGGCACGTCTTTGCCGCTGCGAGTGCTACCTCAAGTGGATGTCGCCCAGACAATAACGTAGGTAGGTAGGTAGTCATTAAATCGTCGGTGGTTCTGGACGCAAACTGCTGCTGTCCCTGCCCTCACTGAAATCCCAGCTTGGGCTTGTGAATTCGACTAGACCCCCGAAAATCATCTTCGGCTCTACCTGCCTTGCCCTCATACGTGTGGGCGTGCCTTACATCACCTTAGGTAACAACTTGGAGCTTACCTCGTCTAGCCAGACTTGAACCTTCCCGCTCACCTTTACCTCACCTCGCCTGCTCATTTACCCCTCCAAAACAAAACAAAAAAGGTCGATTCTTGACCTCCTGGACCCGGACACTTTGCGCGACCCCTCCATCACTCTCCCGAATACCCAACGCATCTTTGCGACTGAACTTCACATCCAGTCTTTACCAATTCCTGGATAGCTTTCCGAGCCTCCCGCGACCCTGAACCATGGCGTCATCCGGTCTCGGGAGAGGTTCCATCCTCCTCGCCTTCTGCTTGCTTCTGGTGCTTCTGCCAGGTCGCGCCGCTGCCTTTGGCGCCGGCAATATCCCCTCTATTGCCCAGGTAGGTTTTGACACCTTGGACACCTCGTCCAATGTTCCACCGTTTCGTAAACTAATGCATTGCGATCTACGTCTAGGTCGAGGGTCACAATTGGCGTCATGGAGGTGCGCACCTTTGTTTTCGCTCTGCTTACCCCTACAGCTGACTGACATGTTTGCGCACAGATATCGAGGACATGCTCAAGACCATTGCTTTCTTGCATGGCAAGAAATGGACCTCCATGTTGGTATCCCGAGTCTACTTTGGCAACTGGCTTCGAGACTATTCCCAAGCCGTCGACGTGGGCAGCTTGAAGGGAGTCAACGCTCCCACCATCAGAATCCTGGTAAGCCCTTGTCGCGACGAAGGTATCGGCGTGTATCCTTTGTACTGACTCTCTCCGACAGGTATGGGTACTCTCCTTCATGGCCTTTGGCTATGCGACGGAGGAATTCGAGGTCACCGAGGAGCGCCTTGGCGTCTACCGCCCAGAGGAACACATCGACAACCCCCTGGGCTACGCTGACGGCATGGACGCGCGCAAGTTCGACCCTCGCCTGCGCGGTCCCGTTGACCCGGTCGAGACACAGATAGATCCCCGCACTGGCATGAAGAACTACATTGCCAATGAGTCTGGCGGTTGGGCGACCAGTGCTGGCTACTTGCGCTTCAGTTTCGCCCGCAGCATCCATTTCGGCCGGGTTTATACCAGCGGCTCGCGGGGTTCAGGAAAAGAAGCTGATCTCTGCGAGGCACTGCGCTGTCTTGGACAGGCTCTCCATTGTATGGAGGACTTCAGCGCGCACAGCAACTACTGCGAGCTTGCGCTTCGAGAGCTGGGCTACCACGACGTCTACCCTCACTGCGGTACTCAAACTGAAATCAACCTGAATGGCCGCCGTGTCTACCCTATCGTAACGGGTACCTTCGGTGCTGTGGACTTCTTGCACTCTGTTCTCGGAGAAGCTACGGACCACTTCACGCAATCTGAGGTAGACGAAATGAATGTCGCCCTGAAGAATGCCGAGGGTATGTCTGCGAACATCACTGGTGGCGGCACTGGATCTCGTGGCTTCTTGGGGATTGGGTCCTCGAAGCCGAACGACTTCATCTCCCTCGTCGGCCAGCTTCCTGGTATTGGTGGAGATTTGGCAAGCCAGGCTCGTGATTTGCAGGCCCAGTCCAGTGCACAGGAGCAGCAAAACACTCGGTCTGGAGGCGACCTCAGCCGTGGTGACTTAAGCCGCGAGAGTTCCAATCAGGTACCTGGTATGAGCACCAATTTCGACCCTGTCGAGACCGCGCGCAAGATCTATCCGATTCTTCAGTTCCGCGACAAGATTGTCAAGTCCATCAGCAACCTCATCTCCAAGATCCCGGGCCTCGAGAAACTTTTGGATCACATCAGTGAGACGCTGACCGCCTTTATCCTGGGGTTGCTGGCGCCGTTTGTGAGACCCATCATTACACAGGTCTCCAAGGTTCTGAAGGATGGTTCATCTACTGTCATCGACGCAAGCTCGAACTCTCAGCTGGAGCCCTGGAAGAATCCCAACTGCTCTGATCCTACTCACTCCATGCTCTCAAAGGACCATTTCACCAACATCCTGAACTCATGCGCCGGCAGGGTTGCTGCGACTATTCTGCAATATGTCGTCCCGTAAGTAGACACTGTCTATGGTCAGGTAATTTGAACGTAGCTAACGTGAAGATAGGCGAATTCTGTATGCCTGGGAAAATCCGGGTGTTCCTGTTGATGAGGTTGTTAATGACGTCCTCCGGGCTTTCCACCATCCAGCAGCTCGCGATGAGAGAGTCCAAATCCAGAGGGATATGTTCGAGACGGTGCGAAAGTGGGCAAATGAGAGCACCCTCAAGCACGAATTGTCCCACCTGCTCTCGTCCGAGTCTGTCAAGGCTGGCAAGAACCATATCTTGACCGGTGGCGATGGCACGAAGAGCGTTGGAGGTCATACACACTCCCATGGAGCCTTCGACAGCTTTGGAGAGCTGGGACACGGGAAGGTGCAAGGTTCCCTTTGGAACCAGATCCGCACTAGAGATCTCAGCTCCATGGAAGGTGATGACAGGAAGCCCTTGTCAAGCTCTCCCCTCCCTTCATCTCAGCAAGACTATGGATACCACCAGAGCGGCGGTGACACCAGTCACCACTACTCAGCCTCTCAGTCTCAGGGACAGGCTTCTGGCTACTACGGTGGCGGTCATTCCGAACCCCAAGGCTACGGTCAGCAGCACCAGCAGCACCAGCCGCCTCCGGGCCAGTGGGGTCCCCCTCAACCTCCGCAGGGCTATGGCGGACCTGGCTACGGTGGTCCTCCAGCTGGATACGGCGGACCTGGGTACGGGGGACCCGGCTACGGTGGACCGCCGCAACCTCAATACCCTCCTCACCACGGAGGTCCACCCCCACCGCATCACCAGCAGGGCGGCGGCGGCTGGAGCCAGTACCCGGGCCAACACCGCTACTAGATCATTTTGTGCGGTGCGGAAATGGGAAGGTGTGAACAATTTAACGATCAGGTTGCGGATTACGGACTGGAGTCTTGGGGAACACGGAAATGGATGGGAGTGAAAGGGGCGGGGCACGCAATCCACGTATGGCTGATGAGAATGATTCCCTGGAGCTGTGCTAAACGGCACACAAAGTATGAATTGCAATATTTTATCCTGTGCTTGATGTTCGTTATTTTTGACTTGTATGTTATGCTTTATCTCATCCCTCTTGAATAACCAACCCTTCCTGCCAATGCCCACATGTGGCAGACTAACCGATGAAAGCCCATTCCTAGATGCCCAACTCCTGAAGATGTGATAACGATGGTGAATAATGCTCCATAGTTTTGAACAAGACATGCATGGTGAATATCTTGCAGTGGTTGAAAGTATTACTGCTTGCCGCGCCGGGGATCCAGCGCCTCTGCCCTCCTCTTGTCACGGATCTCCTTGGTGCCGAGACTACCGACTCCGCCCTCCGACCTTCGCTCCCAGCCGCCGAGTCTGACTACCAGACAGGTGGCGTTGTCGCCGTCGTGGGAGACCTCGGTGGCATAGTTGACGACATCCTTGGCGCCCTCTTCGGGCGTCCTGGCCTCCTTGATCACGTCGACAATCTCCTGATCGCTGAGTGTGCCTGAGATGCCGTCGCTCATGAGGACTAGGAAGGAATACTGCGCTGGACCAATCTCGACGCGGGTTATTTCTGGCTCGGCCGACACGCCGATGCGTTTGCTTCGCATGTCGCCGAATGCGCGGCTATTGGCCAACCCTGCGATCCGGTCCTCCCCGAAGCTGTCTGCCGAGACCATTGAACCGGCCGGCGCATAGCGGCGGAGACGACGGCTTTCCGTGGGAGTGGTTGGGTGATGATCTGACGTCAGGGGCTGTGCGAGGCCGGTAGTCGTTGTGCAAAGAAGTATACGGGTGTCACCCACGTGAGCGACAATCAGGGTAGACTGCGCGTTAGGATGCCAGAATGGTGCTGGAGTAGGCGTCGAAATGAGAGCGACGGATGCCGTCGATCCGCCCTTGAAGCGAGCCGGGCCACCGATGCCGTGGCCTGATGGTGGTTTATGTGGAACCCCAAGGATCTCGTCGTTATTGACGGGGCGATCGTTTGCTTGAGGGTCGTCGGGATCCGGTTTGCGTGCCTGGGCAGAGATGAAATCCAAGTCTGCTCTGAGGAAGGCGTACATGAGGACGGACTCGACCGTCACCCCAGGCTCGTCGGCGTCGTTCATCTTCTCTTCTGATAAATGGAAGTACTCGGGGTTGAAGCGCCGAAAGTATCCTCCGACAGTCTGACGATACTCTTCCACAAGATCCTGTGCCAACTTGATAGCCTTCGGGATATCTTCTACTTTGGCTGAGACTGGTTTGGCCCCTTTCATGGGCTCCTCTCTTTCCGGATTCGTCAAGACGCCATGCTTGTCTTCCTCGGGAACACGAATGTCGTCCTTGACATCTTCTTCTGTCTTCATGAAAAGCTCCTCATTCGGGTCTTCCTCCTTGCGACCCGTCTCTGGTGCCGGGCTCTTTGCCAGGCTACTCTGAAGGCCGAACTCGGCAGAGGATTGCTCGATGTAGCCATGCAGCTCATCACGTAAGAACTCGGCGCACTGAGATCCGCCGTGTCCGTCGAATATACCAAAGTAGAAGACCTGGGGGTCACCAAGTGCGCTGTCGGCCGATGTCGCCTCGTTTGGTTTCTGGATCGGTCGCCTCTGAAGACTGATAGGGGCCCTTTTAGCAAAAGCCGGCATGTTGATTGTGCCGGCTTGGTTGGTGTCCTCATTGTACCCCCGTTGACCCCTCGAAGAGAAAACGCCAAAGTGATGCTTAGCTCTCTTGAGCGGGATCCGGACCACTGTAAGATCTCGGCTTGGCATACTGAGTGCTGCGGCTACTGGAGATGACCCCGGCGTTACTTTGTGGGGGGTCGAAGCATCGCGGGGCAGCTTGTGACCGGGGCCGGATGACCTTCGGGAGTCGGGGTGCAGAGAAGATGATGGGAGATGGGTGACGAAGTAGTTATGGAAGAGTCGCCGGCTTGTCGAGATCGATAGTCTGTCAGTCTTCAGTATGCTTCCTTGTTCGTAACCGAGTGACGTGCGGGTCCGAATCGAAAGCCGTCGAGGGGTTGGCTCTTGGGTAGTGTAGCATCGTCGGGGCGGGTGCCTAGGGAGTGCGGAAGAGGTGGGCTTGTCGGTGGAAGTTCCGATGCCGGTATCCAGGGAGGAATTCACACATCGCACAGCTGGTGGCGAGAGGATCCGCGCCGTCTCATGATACGGCGGTATTCGTCGCGTTGCGAGACAGCGTGTTAAAGCTGGCATTGTTCCGAAAGGGCGGGAGTCTGTTGGCGAGGAAGAGGGTGTCACCGGCACTGCAGCAGCTCAAGTAGGACGACCTTCAAGCTTGCGAAAGCCATGAGCTAGCTCGTCAAGCTTGAACGGCGGCCTAGGGAACGTGGAGCGGGATTCTGGGTGGGCGAGCTTTGGTCGATGGCGCGAACGAGGGGAAGGCTTGTCAGCTGTTGCGTCGGCGACGGCGAGGCATTGGCGTTGGCAATGGCAATGGACTACCACCGAGCTGGGTATCGTGCGTGGCCCCGGGAAAGTGTCGAAAGGGCGGGAGGGACAGATGGGTCGCAGAGTTTGCTTGACAGCTTTTGTGTTTGTTTCTACGATTGACTGCTTGGTCTTGACACTGTGAGATTGGAGGATTGGGTTTGGCCAAGGCACACTGTCGGCCTCGGTTGGATCATGGATGGACCCAGCGACGTAATAAGACGGATCTGGAAAGGAAGGACGGGACGGGGACATGCTGAACCTGGAGGTACCTTCTCCGTGCTCTGCCAGCTGCTTGCCTTAGCTGCAGCTAATCCCGCAGGCTACCCTTGGATTCGGTTAGGAAGAACGGGCCTACCGTACCGTATCCCAGGACCTAGGTAAGGGAGGTGCTGTGTATCCGTAGGTAGGTAGGCACCTGCCGAAGCTGTTCTAGGTGGTGTAAGCAGTACCTGGATAAGTCACACATACCTTACCTACCAACCGACAGCTGCCACGGGCGTTCGGCTGGGATAATCTTATCTAATCAGCACCCGGGATACACCGTGTAAATGCTCAGATTCGTGGTCAAAGAAACACAGTAGACCCACTGCGGTGGCATCGGGCAGGCAGAAAGGGCCTTTGTCTCCTGGAGAGGCGAATGACATGAGTGTCACTGACACGGCCTTATTAATGACATTTTTGCATACTCCTACGCATCCAATCTCAAGACGGCTGCCTGACTGACATAACATTTTGCTGGAGCCGTGCGATGGCCAAGTATAGCATCGACATACATGTCAGTCCCTGAGTCGCGGCAGAGATTCACCTCCCAAGTTGTGCTGTCTTACGATGGGAGACTCGGCAGCAGTTCAGGATGACACATCGGATATGTCCTCGGGCGCCTCTCCCCCCGTTGTGCTCGTATCCGACGATGGGGACATTATTCTAAACGTTACATTCGAGACGTCCAGAGAAACGATTGCTGTGGCTCGCAGGACTTGGCAAGCCGCCAGTAAGAAGATTGGCGCACCACGGATGCCCCAACCCAACCTGAGCCCCAACATCCAAGTCGCCTACCGAGTCAAGCTTTCCGTATTGAGAAAGCACTCTCGGTACTTTGAGAATCTTCTTGGCAACAAACAGTTTGCCGAGGCGAGTAACGTCGAGGAAACCCTCGCTCGCCTGACCGCGGACAAGCTCAAGCTAGCGGAAGTAGATGCCAGAGACTTACCCTGGATCACAATCGTCGATGACGATGAGGCAACCCGATCCATCGGCCGCGAAAAGGTCTTTGAGGACTTGATGAGGATCATGCATGGGAAGCAGATACAATCCAACTCTGTCAACATGCTTCATGTGACTACTCTAGCCATTCTGGCCGATCGATTTGACTGCCGATCCTTGGTCTCAAGATACCTTAGTATCGAGCTCAAGTTCAAGTGGCCCTTGACAAATGCCAAACCGGTGCGGGCGGGCACTCAGAAGAAAAGCCTAGACACCGAGAATGTGCTCAGGCAGAAGATCCTGGTCGCTTGGCTGCTGGAGCAGCCGCCCAGACTCCATAACTACACACGAGAATTGATTCTCCGTGGCTCTGTCCGATGGAGCGAATTGTCACTCGATGAAAATCCACGTACTGAGCTTTGGTGGAGTCTGCCGGATGGCTTGGAGAGTGAGCTGTTTGGCCCTGGTTTCAATAACTGACATTTGCTGACTTGGGATCAGGGGAATTACAGTCCCGGCGGGAGTGTGTTTTGAATACCATTGCTTCAGTCCATCGCCATTTCCTTGCCCTCTACTCGTCTCGCGAGAGACAATGTAAGCTTGGTTACGACTCGAGCTCCGCTTGTGACTCGTTCCAGCTGGGCCAGATGCTCAAGTTCTTTACGGCCAAGGAGCTGATTGGTATTGTTGACTTTGGACCCAGCTCCTACGACAATATTCCAGATTCCTCGGTCATTGATATCGAAGACATACTGGCAATCCTGAAGCAAGTGCCAAGCTATCAGATTGACAAGCACCACACCAATTGCGGTATTCGAGCACGTCTCGACTCGATTGTGGAGTACATCAGATCGATGATGTCGTCCAACGTCTTGTCTATTGCCCAGGTCGAGTGGAAGAACAACCAGGCAACGGCAACATGGGTCCCGGCAGAAGACGGGTCGAAAGTGGACAGAGAAGAGAAGAAGTTTGAGTTCACTAGGAGCTTGGCAGGCGATCAACGACTCCGGTACGAGGGCAACATGTATGCTGATAAGATGGCGCGCAGACTATTCACCGCCGATAGATGGGATTGGACGCCAGAATATTGATCGAATAGAGGCACAAAACTCACAACACCCGGGAAGGGTGCAGGACCAGTTGATATTGAATAGATACGTTTTCCCTCTTCGCTTCAGTATTGTAATCGATCCTGGCAACGCCAAGTTTGATTCTCATTAGTTGTGTTCATGAGGTGTCATGGATGGATGACAATCACATGTAGTCTTTAATTCTAGACGAACACACAGAGAGGCTTTCGTAAATGCTTTGGCTAGATTTACAAACCAATGTTTAGCCCAATTTATCCTATAAAGTTGGCCACCCTTGTGACCTCATTATCATACAGACAGCTTTCATATTACGTTGTCCACAAGCATAGGTATCCTTTTTCAGACATGATCGTCCATAGATTCGAGGGTTCAATAACGACACTCAGATGCCTACCAATCACGACGAAGCGGTCACTGTCTTCGTGGTCGCTGCCCCCTTATCCTTCTCAGATGTGCTCGCCTGCTCGCTTCCGCTACGGTCATCGGAAAGACGCCTGTCGGCTTCCCGTGGGACCTTTGCCTTCATGAAAGGCCAGTGCCCCTTGGTCTCGTGGAATCTCATGAGGAGGAAGCAGCCGATGACGAAGATCCAGTAGACATTGTATGAGATCACGGAGCCGTACGTTGCCGAGTTTGTCCATCCGAGGACGGCATTGAAGATACCCCATCCGCCGCCACCGTTGAGCTCTGGGCTGCAGCACTTTCGAGAGGTCAGTACTGGGCGTCAGTCAAGAAACGAAAATAGACTTACGTTTACGTGCCACACGCTCTTGTCAATGTCATACGAACCCGGTCCATTCCCAAGCTCTGCAGCGTCACCGCCGACAACCTTATTCCATTCTTGCTGCTCAAAGTCACCTACTGCCCTGGAAAAGAGGCCAGCGGCAACGAGGTACAAGAGACACGTGGAGATGACAAGGAACACTTGCAGCTTGGCCGTGGATCCTCCCCTTCGCCAAAGTCAGCATGCAGTTCGACATCGTCAAGAGTCATACAACTTACTTGTAAAGGAGGTAGCCGACAAAGGCGCCTACAATCAACCCGACGATGGCGGGCAGCGGCACAGCAGACGCGGGCGCAGAGAAGGAGACGCCAGCGACGAAAACAATTGCCTCGATGCCTTCACGAAGCACGGTGATGAAGGGCAGGATGAACATGGCGTACTTTTCGGCGAAGCGCTTGAACCACCCCCGGCTCGCACCAGTCTTGACGGGAGACTCCATTGCCTTTGCCAACTTGACGCGCCACTTCTCCTGCATTTTACCAATGCGAAGTAGAGCAGCACCCATGATGGTGATAATGACGGCGGCGAGTAGAGAAAAGGCACCTTCGTAGTAGAGCTCGTGGGCCTCCCAACTGTTTCGGCCGACCTTGTAGAAGACGGCGATGACGACAGCTGCGGCGATCAAGCATATCAAGAAACCGATACCTGTACCGAGCCATACCTATTGGGAGAACGCATCAGCAACGGTTCTCGGTTCACGAGTGTCTCGATTGTCGTTACCTGTCTGCGCAAGGCCTTGTACACGGCTACATCTCTGTTGGGTCCATCGAGAGTCTGCTTGAGGAAAGCCAGCAAAACCGACACAATGATGACGGTTTCCAGAGACTCTCGAAAGACGACCAGGAATACTGGTACAGAAAACACGTCGACGGTCATTTTTGGCACCTGTGAGAAGGGCGTATGTCGTTTGTCTTGGTCACAGATTCCGAGCAACGAAGAAGGAAGAAAGAGGAAAACAGACTTTTGTCTGACAAGCGTGGAGAGGGGAGACGGGCAACACAGGCACAGATTAATCTGATAAAATCAAATCAGATAATCGCTGGGACTAGCCGATGAGGGTGCCGGTACTGGTTGGTCTTGTGGCAACGGATACGAAGAGCCGAAAGGCGGAACGCTAGCCCAAATTTGCCCAAGGCCAGTAAGAGAGGACAGGCATATCTTGATAATCAGCCGACCTTTTCTTGTACGGTAGCAATCAATCATTGACTTATGGAAAGGGCGGAACATCTGCTCTGGACCGACTGTAGTCCGAAGGGAAGGTTGAGGCGAGGGCGACAAGGCGAGGAGGGGAGGTGGGACGAAGGTGGTGCAAGCTCCAAAACCCGATTCCAGGCGTAGAGCCAATTAGACCAGCGCCGAGGTCTCATTGTTGCATGCAGACCGGACCATTCTCCTTCACGACAAGCTTTTCTAGTTGGTTTTAGTACATTTTGGAAGGGGAGCTTCCTGTTTCTCGTTTCGTGTTACGGTGTTGGGGATAAAGCATGCATGGGAGAGAGAGCTGCATCCCTGGGACTGGCTCGCGTTGCTTAGCGCGGATTGATGGGGAAGGGGGCCTCAAACGGGCAAGGATACTTGAGGCACTTATGCGCTCGCGATATTGCTCGATCCTTGAGAGTTTGACGGGCGGGAAAGGCTGGTGGGTGCGTTGCTGTGATCTGATGGTCGAGATGTAAAAAGGAAAGGCCCGTGATTCTGACGATCGACATGAGATGACACAGATTGACTTGCCTCTAGCCTAGCATTATTTCTATCTTTGACAAGAAGGACAACGGAATGGACTGTCGCTGAGACGCCCAATTGTCGATCTTCAGCCATATGTCGGCAACGTACAACGCCGTTGACTGGTGCTACGCCAGACAAGTAATGTGGCGGATGCTGGAGGTGTCTTGATGTGGGATGCCGGCGGCAAGCCAGAGATGGGCTCAAAGATGTGCTAGACTGCCACTGCTAGGTGACCATTGAGCCGGCTGGTTCCCGTGGCGGGACTCATTACTCGTGACAATATCACTGACAATGTACAGCTTGGAATTAGTTGGCCTCGACAGCGATGGCGGATTTCCATCAACAGCATTGCGATCGCCGCCAAAAAAAAGTCTGATAGGCTGAGGGATTTGGAACCAGCTTTCATGAAATTTGAATGGGCACATGGGACAGATTGACCTAAAGGTATC